ATATATCACCTCCTGAATGAAACTGGTTTCAAAGCTCCCATCCCTGCGAAACTATGGTGTGATAACCAAGCTGCTCTTCATATTGCATCCAAACCAGTTTTTCACGAAAGGACAAAACATATCGAAGTAGATTGTCACTTTGTTCGGGAGAAAATACAGAAGGGATTGATTTCTACTGGATTTGTGAAGACAGGAGATCAATTAGCAGATCTCCTTACTAAAGCGCTAAATGGCACCAGGCTTATGTATTTATGTAACAAGTTGGGCATGATAAATATATATGCTCCAACTTGAGGGGGAGTGTTATTAGTAATAATATTAGTATTTTAGTTAAGTCCTGAGAATATGGCAGGATCTGATCTGGCCATTAATATGGGTGATTTAGGCTTTAATATGGGAGATTTAGTTTCCTTATATTAGCACCCTTCTTATGTATATATAGTCATGTTGTATTATGTAATAATGTATAATGAGGAACACCTCTGATTATCAATCACAAATATCATAGTTCCTGACCAATTAAGTAAAAGAATCCGTTGATAACCAATTTGAAATATTTTGATTAATACTCCCTCTGCCCCTTTATTGTTGTCCCTTTTCACCGTTTATGTTACTCCCTCTATCTTTGTACATGTCCCTTTTTTTAATTAACACGCAATTCCATCTTATAACTTTGCGGACCAACACCCTGTGTTCCAAACTTAGTGGGAGTGTGGGACGGGGCACGGGGGGGGGGGGGAATGTATAGTCAAAGAAGTGGATGAACATAATCGGATATTTAATCCATTGGAAATGGGTTTGAACATTAGGGAGGCAAAGGCCTATATTGAGTACCTTGACTAAAATTATCAAAGATAACCTCGGTTGTCACAAACTTCTAGAACCTCTTCTTCAAAGATCTGCATGCTGTTTTAGAATTCATGTAGCTGTCCAGGCAATTTTTTTTAATTTTGTTTTCATTACTTTTTACCTAATGCAATGATCCTCAAACTGTTATTATTAGGGAAAACCGCGCATGACTCTATTCACTGGCAGCTCAAGAGTAGCAGAGAAATTAGCTGGGGACCTTAAAGGTCGCATAAAGCTCGAAGATGCTGGGTTTGACTGGAAGATCCTTGGCCCTGATGTTGATGAGGTTTACTCTGCAAACACATGAATATTTTACAAAATGAGTGTTTATATTTCAAGTATGATGCTTATGTTGAGATAACCCAAAAATATATATGTATGTATAGAAATATGGCAGCTCAATGTTTTGACCAATTATTTCTCTGAATAAACATTGAACTACTCTTCAGAAGTAAAAACGTTGTAAGTTGAGTGAAAGCCATATTATTCAACACATTGCTCATATGTTTGTTCGGCAGGTGGATTATGTTGCGTGGGTTTGCGATCAAGATGCCTATGCATGTAGTGGTCAGAAGTGCTCAGCTCAATCCATACTTTTTATGCATGAGGTTTGTTGGTTGCTCTTATTTTGGTTTCCTTTTACTTTAGTTTAATCATTCATTTCCCTTTTCCTTTTGGGATTCTTCATTTAAATTAAATTAAATGTTTCTTTGTAATTTTTGAGAGAAGGTAAAATCTAATACTTTGTGTGCAGAATTGGAGTCGAAGTCCTCTCATCAAATTAATGAGTGAGCTTGCTGCTAGAAGAAAGTTAGATGACTTGACAGTTGGTCCCATTCTCACGGTATGCGCCTCTCACCAATTTTTTCTCTGATATTTCTCTTTGATATCTCTCTAGGCGGTGAACGGTCGGTAGAGGATCCTGTCAGGCAGATCTAGGTATCCCCCCCCCCCCCACACACGAGCCCTTGCACCCCCTCTCTCCTTACGATACCTGACCTGATCACCAACCACCTCTGCCCTCCCCACCAACCTTGTCTTTCTGTTAGCGCAAGCACCCACGTCCTGCTGGCCAGCCACTCAGCGCTACCCCACAACTCAAGATCTCAGCCCCAAGCCAAAATCTAAATCTCAACCCGTCAAGCCCATCCCAGCCCATGGCTAATTTAAGAGCAGGCCAGCCCTAGGACCAACCAGACCTCTGCCCTCCTTCCGTTTGTTTCCATTGTTTTTTTATTATTCTTAGTATTATTCTTGTTAGTATTATTATAATCATAATTATTATTAGTATGGAGTATCATTTTTGATGTTGTGACTTTAAAGTTTATGAATATAACATATTATATGACACACACACACACACACTAATTTACCGTGTGTAAATTCAAAGTCCATGCCCCAACTTGTTCACTACGGATAGCTTTCACAATAGTTTTTTTTCTGTTGCTATGTGACATGTATTAACTTGAAAGACAAGTATTCCCTTCTTCCCTCCCCACAAGTTGTAATGATTTCAGCTTTCATTTACCGGACAGCAAAGTTATGACTTGTTTCTTTAAACCATTTGTAGTTTACTACAGAAGCAATGCTGGGCCATATGAACAAGTTGCTGCAGATACCAGGATCTAAGATTCTCTTCGGTGGCGAACCCTTGGAAAATCATTCCATCCCTTCAATATATGGTGCCATTAAACCAACTGCTGTTTTTGTGCCTCTCGAAGAAATCTTAAAGGATGAAAACTACAATCTTGTGACAACTGAAATATTTGGCCCATTCCAGGTAATTTTTTTCATTACACTGCACGCTTACATTATGCTGGTTTATATATATGAAGTTTTTGCAATATGTGATGTTTTCTGGTATTTTTTGTTGGCAGATTGTCACTGAATACAAGGATGATCAACTGCCTAATGTCTTGAATGCCCTTGAAAGGATGCATGCAAATTTAACAGCTGCTGTAGTTTCAAATGATCAGCTGTTCCTGCAAGTAAGACCAAGAATGATACTCCATCCGTCTCCCGAAAAACTTCCTTGTTTGACTTTCACAGAGTTTAAGAAAAATGTTGAAAAGTGAAAATTTTATGTTTAGAATCTGTTTACTGCATAGAGAATGTAGATGAAATAAATATAAATAAAACAAGGATACTACTCGTTACAAGAATAAAAAAGCCTAATGCAATTGGCCATTGACTGGACAGTAGTGGAACGAAATTACTATATCTTCATCAATCATCTGCTAGCTGCTTTAAAAAAGAATGTAATTGTACAAGCTGTAACATTAATCTGCAGGAAGTGATCGGCAATTCTGTCAATGGGACAACATATGCTGGAATAAGAGCAAGAACAACTGGCGCGCCACAAAACCACTGGTTAGTTGGAAGTAATTAAATAAATACAATGAGAGATCCGTAGGCTGTTTAGTTGATTGATTGCTTCCAAGTGTCTACACACACACGTAGTATTTGCTAATAAGGGTCTGTTTATTTGGGTTGGAAAAGTTAACTTCCAACTTTTTCTAGTTTCTTCCAATCCCTTCCATTAAACCCTTCCAGTTTCATCCAACTCTTTCTAGTTTCTTCCAACAACGACTAAAAAAACATTTACATATGATGAATATACAATAACATCATATATCTAAGTTTATAACATACCACCTCAAGCGCGGACAAAGACGAATTTTTTATATCCTAAATTAGTTTTCTTACATTTTTATTTGGATGATTATTTGAGTAATATTTTTAACACTTTATTTTTTCCTACATTATCCAACTCCTTCCAGGGTTTTTCCAAATCCTAGTTTTTTCCAACTTCCAGTTTCTTCCAACATCCAACTCTGTTGTTTTTACAACCCAAACTAACAGAGGCTAAATGTGATTGACACATTTGTAGGTTTGGTCCAGCGGGAGATCCAAGAGGAGCTGGTATCGGGACACCGGAAGCAATAAAGCTGGTATGGTCTTGCCACAGAGAGATCATATATGATGTTGGCCCTGTGCCATCTGCTTGGCAACTTCCCCAGCCAACATAACAAGGAAATCCAATCGTTTTGTATTTTTGTAGCAATGGAATAAAAAGTGCGAGCATTTTAACACGTGCTTCGAGCGAGGTGCGCCCTCTAAACGTTTTGAATATTTCCCAATAAGATCAAGCCATTGTATAACTCAATGAATAGTAATTTGCATTTGAATTTGGTCCCTTAAAAAAAGTTCAAATATTATCCAGCATTTCAATACTTCTTACAAGTTCAAGAAAACCCATCAACCAATTACTTAAACATACCAAAACCTGTGCTTGCATAGGAGTAGAAACTAATCAAATGTCATAGCAAAAATGGATAGAAATTCAGGTTAATCTGTCATAGCAAAACTGGATAGAAACACCAAATTAATGGTAGATAGAAATTCATGTTAAAATGGACGACTTGTTTTCGAATAAGTGTTTGAACCGGTTCTCTTGAAAGACCGCTTCAAGTTTAGATTGCCTTGCTTTAAAAAAAATTCTTGCAAAACTCCTCTGGGAGTTGGGATTGTACTGGTTTTTGTCATTTGTTGGTTTTCAGTGATGAAATTTTAAAATGCTTTGATTCAAATCTCTATAGAACGATACATCGATGTCCGATAACTTCCCTGATGATCAAAAAGCCAAATCAAGAGATTTTGGAAACCATATAAATCATTGAAGTGAAACACAATAATCCATGTTATAGTTTTCATGAAGACAACAATTTGGTGTTTTTTAACATATCTTTGTTTGATTTAAGTAGTATTGGAATTATATGTTGAAGTGCTATGGTTTCTTTGAAAGTTATTAAAACCAAAACTGCGAGTCGAAAGCCTTGTTTGGATGTTGGCTGTTTGTATCGGTTGTTCTAAATAGCTGTTTAATTTAGCTGGTTTGACCGGTAGGATGATGAGCTGATCGTTAAAAATGTTTGGTAAAATTAGCTGTATGAAAATAGTTGTTTCGGTGTGTGTGTGTGTTAAATACACACACACGATATTTATTTTTTATTTCTGTAAATGTAAAAATTAAATCGTTAATATGTGGAGTATAAAATTTCATTTTCATATAATTCATACGAAATTATTAATATATAATTTTTAATGATTTTTACTTTTGATTTTCTCATATCTTTTTTTGAAATTTTAAACTTTTTTTAAATTCTTGAATGTTTTAACTTTAATTTTTAATTTTTTTACATGTATTATAAAATATCTTTCAAGAAAAATGATTTAAAAAATAATTTTTCTAAAAGCCAAGTTCAAAAGCTACTCCCCTTGGTTTTTCGGATTTTGGCATTTTAGATCAAAAAGCCACGTTAAAAAGTCATTGGCCAAACAATGTTTTTGGCGAATCGATAAGTCAAAGATGCCAAAAGTTATTCGAAAAACTATTTTCCAAACACAGCCAACATCATTATTGCCACAAGATGGTGGAAGACCGAGATGTACTCAATTGTATATTTATGATACACAAAACAAGATATCAAATAGAATGAATCATTTCAGGTATTTCAAATATTTTATTAAGTTCACCCTTTTAATGAATGAATTCTTTACACGTGTTTGATAACACAATTCTCATGGAACATAATTATCTAACTAATAAAAACAATTATTTCTTTTTGTTTCATACAGTAGGGAGAATAATTCTTGGGCTACTGATAGAACTTTAGTCTTGGATTTGAAAAATATGATAGATGAGCATAATGTTTTAACATAGAGTTTCAAAATAGCTTGAGATTTCATGCAAAATGAGCCCACTTTTGTTATTTCGAAGAGGCAGTTGAGAAGTAAAACTAGAGACTCAAGAAATTATAATATCCCCACAGTGGACGAAGTTGTTGCTCTAATAGTTGGAGATTTTGATTCATCTAATAAAGAAAGGGACATCATCATCGCAAAAAGAAATAGATTCTTACAATAAATTAATGAGACACACCATGTTTTTATACCTCTTCAGTACCATTTGTTGTTTTCTTTGGGAGAGAATGTATAATAAGAAAATATTCCTATAAGAGAATTGTTTTTTTTGGGAACAAAAATGTACAGCGCCCAAAGGTCTCAGCGAGAGAATTTGTTGCATTTCGAATATAAGAAAGAGAAAATGATTGTGGTATTCTGTTGTTTTCAGAGCTTAAAATTTCTCGAGACGACCTAAAGAATTTTTGTCGGATTCAAATTGAAAAGTTGTTGAATTCAAATGGATGGTCTTTAAGACAATACAGTGGGATCCACGCTTGTAAAGCGTCCCTCTAAGCCTAAAAGACGAGTCGGGTGCGGTCTCATTAATCCAATCGTCAAAAACAGGCGATTGATGTCGTTGTTCGAACCCGCGACACCGAAAAAAGTGTGCCAAAACCACAAGTCATTTGAAGTAACAACTTCGAGCATGATAGTAGGCCTGGGATGATCCCCACGGGAGAACTGACCATGCCACGCAGTGGGACAATTTTTCCATTTCCAATGTGTGCAATCAATGCTCCCAAGCATGCCGACAAAGCCGTGTTTAGCGGCATGCCTTGCTTGTAACTGCTGAATGCCGCTCCCTGTAGGCTTGCGTAAATATCTTTTACGATAAATTCGAATAATAGCTTTAGAAAAATTATAAACACAGGACCTGATGCTCTGAGCCGACATCTTCAAGTATTCGTCGAACATATCAGATGCAGTCCCGTACGCCATCTGACGAAGCGCGGCAGTGCAGTTCTGGACACTACTAAACCTGCGTCGGCCTCTCGCATCAAAGAGTTGGGTGAACCAAGGCATCTCGCGTTCAACATCGGCGAGTATGCTTAAAAAGAGAGGACGACTCATCTGAAAATGATTACTAAAATCTTTCGGTGTATAAACACACAGAGTATTGAAGTAGTCGTTGAGAAGTGATGTGTGGGCAGCCGCTCGATCCCGGTTTAAACGTTGTCGTCGGGTCTGGCGTTGGGAGAATTCAACTTCTTCTTTTTCGCCTTGTTGCCACCATTGATAACAACTCGAGGCGAAATAATGAAAAATGAGAGCTCTTTTTTTATCATCGGATGAAAATGATCCCATTTTTAAAATATATTTTATAAATAATTATAATAAATAGAAAAATATTTGAAAGCATATTTGATAGAATTGTAGAGAGAAGATAGTGAGTGATGTGTGAGAGATAGGTTTGTTTTGATTGAATTTATAGATTTTTTTTATTTTAATTTTTTTGTGATTAACGGCTCTTTTAGCTATTTTAGCCGTTGGGGGAGGGGGAGACGCATTAAACCTTTGACGCATTGGGGCTGAAGGGGACAACGATGTAAGTTTTAAAACTACGAAAAGTAATAGTTTACATTTACCAAACTTCTGCAATAAACTCCCTATTTGTGTGATGCGGCGGCGTCATGTGTTTGGGGAAAAGTCAACAGAAAGTAGTTCGGAAGGAGTACTTCGATCGTGCTGGGCAACGAAAGAATGAAGAGCGAACAAATCAAAGACGGCTAGCTGCATTTAGCTAGTAAGACCCTATGACTTTGACACAAAACAGTCCAATTTGAACACCTACCCCTCCTTTTTGTTCTCGGGATCGGAGTATATACGGAGTATATTTTAGAATTTTAAAAAAAAAATCTTCCCTTTACTTTTAGTGGGTGGATTATTAAAAGAAATGAGATTCTTTGGAATTTTTTAGCATTTTAAAAATTGATGGATATTCGATTGAAATTTTTGAAAAAATCAATGAAATGCGGTTGACCACCTCAACATACTATTACTATTACTATTATTATTATTATTATTATTATTATTATTATTATTATTATTATTATTATTATTATTATTATTATTATTATTATTATTATTATTATTCCTCCGTATTATAGAACAAGCCACATGCATGCTTAGCTACCGTAAGTGATTTGTGATCTCCACTTGCCTATATATATAGTGACCCAAAACCTACATAGCCTTCCACACAAACCAATCCATTAGATAAGAGCATTTCCCATTTTCCCATCCTATCTTCTGATCCCCATTCCACTTTGTTCAAATATCCAAAGGGATCCAAAAGCCATGAAGGTGAAAATAGTAAGCACGAGAATTGTAAAACCTCTCTATGAAGGAAACGCCGTCGTTCCTCCATCAACAACCCAAACCCCCCTTAGTGTTTTTGACGAGGTTTCTTATGATGCTCAAATGGCAGTTATTTACGCCTACCGCCCGCCCACTCCTTCAAATGGTGTCATCGAGTTAGGGCTTAGGAAAGCTCTGTCGGTGTACAGGGAATGGGCAGGCACGTTGGGCAAGGACGAGGATACGGGTAAACCCGTCATTTTACTCAATGACCAAGGGGTTAAATTTGTGGAAGCGGTAGGTGAAACCGCCCTAAGTAATGTGATGCCCTTGAAGCCATCTCCGTCATTGCTCGCCCTTCACCCTGGTTTGAAGGGTGCGACGGAGCTGGTCCAAGTCCAACTAACGCGCTTCACCTGTGGCTCTCTCGTGGTCGGGTTCACCTCTCATCACCTCGTTGCAGATGGCCACTCAACAAGCAAATTCTTGGTTGCGTGGGGAAACGCGTGTCGTGGCCTAAAGGTCCAACCCTTACCCCTACGCGACAGGACGATTTTCGTCCCGCGAAGCCCATCAAGAATCGAATACGAGCACGTCGGGGCCGAATACACCCCAAAAGAAGCAAAGAAAAATGACCATTTGGCCAATGACGACGATGACATTGTGATTCATAAAGTCCACTTCACCTTAGAGTTCCTAGCCAAGCTCAAGGCCAAGGCCTCGAGCTCCATGAGCGCGAGGCCCTATAGCACTTTTGAAAGCCTCCTGGCCCACCTCTGGCGGGCCATTACCAAGGCCAGAAACCTCGGAAGCTTCGAAAGCACCCACATAAAAATCTCTGTGGACGGGCGTGCACGCCTCAACCCCAAAGTACCCAATGACTACTTTGGCAACCTAGTTTTATGGGCATTTCCTACCTCAAAGGTCAAAGACCTATTGCGCGAGCCGCTACCTTACGCAGCAAAGCTCATCCACGATGCCGTTGGGAAGGTGAACAACAACTACTTCAAGTCATTCATAGATTTCGCAAACTCTGGGGCGGTGGAGGAAGAAAGTCTAGTTCCCACGGCGGATATGGACAAGCACGTCCTACGTCCGAATTTGGAGGTTGATAGTTGGCTAAGGTTTCCATTTTATGACTTGGATTTTGGGACCGGGTGTCCTTACATTTTCATGCCTTCGTATTACCCAACTGAAGGAATGATGTTTTTGCTTCCCTCATTCATAGGAGATGGAAGCATAGATGTTTTCATTCCATTGTTTCAAGACAACTTGGAAACCTTCAAGCAGATTTGTCATTCTCTTGACTTATTTTGAGGATGGGATTTGCTAGGGGTATCTCCAAGTTAGTGTACCCCGGGTGCACACCACCTTCTCAGACACACACAGGCACTCAATGTTTGTGTTTCACCCAGACCGTGGGTATCTTTATATATGTGTGAGAAGTTAGTGTATACTTGAAGTACATCACCATGGAGTACCTCTAGATTTTTCGGTGGAGGATTTATTATATTTGAGCCAAAAGTTTTGTTTGGTGCGTGGGAAAGGTATATTGTATTATGAATAATGCTAGGGTGCCACTACATGGGTGCTACCATGGGTGCTCCCATGCTTCACACAGACAAGCCCAGACGATAATCGTCTGTGCGACACAGACAATTATCGTCTGTATTTGTCTGTATGAAGCATGGGTGCACCCATAGTAACACCCATGTGGTGGCACCCTAGCATGACACATTGTATTATATTGGTCAAAGAATTAGGTAGCAAATTAAATAATTGAATTGTATTGGTATACGTGAGTACGTCAATGTCATACTAAATTTGTTTGGTTGTTTCGTCAATGAGGGTTTTCCTCTAAGTTAGTTATTAATTAATTATAACAATATATGCATGCATTAATCTTTATGATTTGTAAACATCTTAACAGATGTAATGTTTCGTAATATACAAGATTTATGATGTGTTTATTTTATTTTAAATTAATATTGTAAGCTATTCCGTACTTTATTATCCCAATTTGATCTCTCTCTTATAGTCTTATGTAAACCGAATCGAAAACTAAGAGTGTAGTATTTCAAATTGAGTATTTGTCTAATTTTGATTTTTTATAGGGAAAATTAATGAAATTTGACCACTAATTAAATAAAAATTTTACTTCAAGTGGTCAAAGGTTGAAAATAATTTTATTAAATTGTGTTTTTACATTACCACATAATTTGAAAGAAAAAGAAAAGAAAGGAATTTTGTTTTTCATTCTTGGAAAATCTATTTTTTTTTTCTTTCAAATTATGTGGTAATGTAAAAACACAACTATTTTAAGGATTAGTGACTAGTGTGGTTCTAGGCGAACAAGTTCTAGTGGAACACAATTGATGTTGATATCAACTTTGGTTTACCTCATCGTCATCATCATAATTTAAATTTGAATTCGAATAATAATAATAATAGCAATCAAAATTAATAAAAATAATTTTTATTATTATTATTATTATTTGAATTCAAATTCAAATTTAACTTATAATAATAATTTGAATGCAAATTTAAATTATGATGATAATGATAATAATACAGATTAATTTAACTTTAATTCGAATAAGGTTCACTCAGATCAGATCACATCGATTAAGATCAGATCAAATTCATTCAGATCAAGTCAACCTTAAAAAATTCACTTCAGATTCGACCAGCCGAAGAGAACGCAGCGTTAAACCAAAATAAATTAAATTATACTTGTATTAAACTAATGTTTGTAAAAACTATTAATGATTTAACGCTATAATGCCCCTTTCTCTGAGTATTTGTCTACTTTTATCTTTTTTCAGTTAAAATTCACAAATTTTGACCACTAATTAAATAAAATTGGCAATTGATATTGATACAAAAATAATTTTATTAGTGTTAGAGTATAAACAATCAGTCCTGGGCCACAACCACAAGCTTGAGCTTGTGGTTGAGTTGGTTCCTTGACATGGTATCAGAGCCTTGATGACCAAGAGGTCATGGGTTCGAAACTCACCTCCACCCAGATTCAAAAAAAAATTAAGGTTTCACGTGCAAGGCTCAAAGAGGTCACGCCTGCACGTGAGGGGGCGTGTTAGAGTATAAACAATCATTCCTGGGCCACAACCACAAGCTTTGAAAATATTAGATTTTTTATATAATATTTTCAAAATACTATTTTATCTAATTAATATATACCCTATAACTTTTTTTTTAATTTTAGATCAAATATCGAAAATGATTGACCGGAAAAATTCAAAATTAGACAAATAGTATTCAATAGCTAACCGATATTGGCCTTTTCTTTTTCATTTGAATACATTTTAACCAAAGTATTTTTCAGTTGTCCCATAAAAGTCAAAGTAATAAAATTTATTAAGACGGAAGTGGTGGATGGCAAAGATGCATGGATCATGATACGTATACACACATATGAACATGCTTTTGATATGAAGCCTCTTTATAAGAATAATAATGCGTGTTTATATTTCCTTCATTAAAAAGAGAGAATAAGACGTTTATAGCTAGCAATCTAGCATGTTTTTATTACTAAATTTAATCAAACCGTATGAAACTCCGACGACATTAGCTTAGCAGTAACCCAAATTGAACACTCCATCTATTCAATGAAGGATGTAATTAAGGGCACCTCAAGATGCATGTCAATAGGGGTGTGCATTATTCGATCCGGACCTATACCGACCCGAAACCCGGCCAAAACCGGACCGGACCGTTTCGGATCGGTCCGGTCTTTGGTCCTCAATTTTTCCTTATTCGGGTTCCGGTCCGGTCCACCGGGTTTCCATCTGGACCGATGGACCGGTTACATTTTATTTTTTTAAAATATTTTTTTCTATAATTTTTTTAAATACATTTTCAATTCAAAATAAGATACCAATTCTAATGATTTTTAAATATTTTTAATATAAAAAGTAAACATTACTTTTATATTAGCGATTTAATGCATTTCTAATTTTTGTACCAATACTATCACTTAAATTTGTACTTTATCAATAATGAAACGTTAATCCGCAAAAACAAACATTGTAAACAATCTCATGAACAAAAATAGTAAAAAATGTATCCGTTTGTCAAAATAAATCGAAAACTCAAAAAAATACTCTCTCCGTCCCGCAAAAAAGTTTCCTTTTCTTTTTTCATCCGTCCCCAAAAACACTTCCATTTTTCTTTTAAAAAGTCACTTTTATCCCTATTAATTCTTAACATACCTATCACATCACACTTTTTCTCTATTAATCTATCCATCTCATCCTAATTTATCCATCACATCAAAGGGCATTTTTGGAAAGTCAATACAAAAAAAACACACCCCTTAAATCCTCAAAAAGTCAAAACGGGAACTTTTTTAAGGGACGGAGGGAGTATTACAAAAAAGCAAAAATGAACTAAGAAGAAGAATATTCTCAATGTAAAATAAAAATTTCGAACAAATTTTATGTAATATGGATGTAAGATATATATTTTGTTTAAAGTTTTTTTTAAAAATTCAAAACAACTGTGTTTGACACTGTTTAGTGTATGTTACAATTAAAAATTAGTTGTACTAATATTTTTATTCAATTGAATACTTTAAATTAAATAAATGAATCAAATTTTAAAAAAAATTAAAAATAACATTTATTCGGTCCGGTCCCAGTCCGGTCCGGTCCGGGGTTGACCCGATGAACACCCCTACATGTCACTTCACACAACAAAGATAAATATAGATATATTGGGCCGGCCTTGAATAGCTCTAAGTCTAACGATTTACTCCCTCCATCTCTATCGAATCTTTCCATTTAATTTTTTACAATCTCCAACGTAATACTATTTTATATATATATATATATATATATATATATATATATATATATATATATATATATATATATATAGATTTTGATTCTGGTGAGAATGCAATCTTAGGAGAGAAATGAGAATGAATCTGGTGCTTTAGATTGTAAGATCTAAGGATCAAGATTTCATCAAAATTAGATGCACCAAAATGGTGCGAAAATGCATCACGTCGAAATGCACCATAAACCTTCGAAAATGCACTATCTCAAAATCTGAGCGCAGGATGCAATCTGAGCCGCACGATGCATCAGATCCGACGGCAAGATTTTATTCTCATTTCTCTCCACAAGGTGCATTCTCACGGGAACCAGCCCCTATATATATATATATATATATATATATATATATATATATATATATATATATATATATATATATATAAGTACAAAACATCCAGGGAGCATATTAATGTATTATCCAGAAGCTAAAACACAAAAACTGTCTTGACAAACCAAGTGTGGGTCAAGCTGGAGATTCCCAGCGAGAGAAGCTACTCCAACCCCTTCTCGTTCTATTTTGCAAACCAAAACTTACTAATATTTCCCAAGCCTGTAAAAGACTGCTATTGTTTGAGGGAGACTAACTCCCTAACTGGTGCCATATTCAATTTTAAACCTTCTTCCTCTAGTGCAGCATGACAATCCTACAACACCCTTTGCAACCTCATGAAGCTAGGTGTGCAGCCAGAGGCTAAATTCCTATTAAGAAAATGTCCATAACAGAGTGCTGCAGCCCTGCTCCTCTATCAAAGCCAACACTAACATCACAAAATCTAACAAAAGGCTAATTCCATTAATCAGAACTCCAAAAGGCATTCAACTCCACAGACCTATAAAATGCTTAACCCTTAGAAACACATTGTTCTCTCTCATAGCCATAAAGACCAATTCCATGCTTAGCAAAGGCCATAAAGCAAAGTAAAAACATCCCATTCTGAAACTTCCCATCATAGTTCTTAAAAATACAATAATCCATAAAGTAGCATTCAACCTACTCCAAATCATTCGTAGTCGACGAGATGACCACAAATGGTTGTTATTATTGGTTCATCAATGTTGGCACAGGATAATAGGACTGGATGTCTAGTACCTTTCAGTTTGATAGCCCTGATGCACTGAGTGCTCTTCATCGCATCTCTTGTCGCTTTTAGTGCCTTACCCTCCAGAGTTTTGACTAAACCCTTCTGAATCTTCTCCTTAATGAATGGGGATCTTAGCGCATCCTTAATGACCCAAATTGATTGCTCAAAATCGTCGCTGATGTGTTTCTCAAACAAAGGTAAGAGAACCTCAAATTCCTTATGGTAATCTCCTCTGGCCGCATCATCCTCTTTTTCATCCATCCACTTTAGCTCTAGTTCCGTATGAATAGGTCCATCCATTTTTGGATCTTGCACATCCGGAGCTATCCTTAATAGACCGTCAATAATTATTTGTTCATCTGAGTTTAAAACTAAAGTGGTGACTTCCTCTTTCTCTGTCAAGACCTTCGAAATCCCTGGAATGGAAGTATTGTGTTGATCTCCTGAGAATGCCTTTTCCCTAGACAGTTCTGTAATTCCAAGTCGAAAATCTTCCACCTCATTATTAGAAAGGGGGTTGCCTTCTTTGCATAGTTGAGGTGTATTCTCCAAGGCTTGATATAAGGTTGCCTGAGCCTTACGAATCGCCTTAATGAACAGAAATAAGCTTGATTGTTCTCTTCCAACTGGGATGCAAATCATTGATTTTACGCCTTCATAAACAGAAGCAATCTTAACGTAATCCCCATTTCTGTTCGTGAGCCAAGTGACCTTCAAGGAGTGTTCGTGTTCAAACTTGCTCAGTGACCAGGATCTCTCTGCCCATAGAAGAAGCTCTATACTCTCGATCAGCCACGAAGTCAGAGTGCAGGACAAGGATAATGGTGTGCACCGCTCCCTTTTTACACTCTGAGATGTTTAGAACTTCATTGAAGTGAAAGTCAAACCTTTTGCTTTCAATGACAATGGAAAATAGTCCAAATTGTAAGGAGAAAGGACCAATGTATTTGGAGATTACATCTTCGAAGTTGACCTCGTGCTTCTCATTTTGCAGACCCCGAGTTCTCCTTTTCTGTCCTGTAGGGTTGAAGCCCTGAAGTGGGTGAAAGTGCCTTCGGTTATGTACGCAACGGCCAGTGGGACTCTTGTTGATGCGTCTCTCTCTGTAATGGTATTGCTTTCGTTCTTCCTTATGCGCGGGTAGAAACTGACCCTTTCTGTCAAATCTGTTCGCCGTCCACGGAGGAGCACGACACTCAGTGAACCCCCTGCTTCTGTAAAGGCATCTGGATCTCCAATCAGCGTTCCCTCTGCGATTTTGTTCCCAGGACCAGAAGCCGTCGCGATGCCAGATGCCATCTTTCCGGATGAAATTGCTTACATAGGAGCTCCCATCTCTTCGTCGTTCCCCTTGGAAGCTGTAATTGTTGTTTAAACGCCGGGGAATTTGTTGCCTAAGTTCTCGATTTGTTCCGGCGGCATAAACCCGAGCGCCACCTTCCTCTCCAAAGGTTTCCCATCTGCGCATCTTTTTTCCCATATATATATATATACTCCCTCCTTCCATAAATAAAGTTCTCACTTTCCTTTTTCGTCCGTCCAAAAATAAAGTTCCCATTTCTATTTTTGGAAAGTTTTTTACACTAAAAAGTCTAAATTACCCTCCCACCCCATCCTTATCCTTTCTTTTTCTTTTTCCTTCCCCCTCCATCTCCTTTCCCATCCGTCACTTTTTCTCTTCTTTTCTCTCTTCTTCTACTCTCTTTTCTTTTCATCATCTCGTTCTTCTTTCTGCTTCTTTTATTTCTTTCTTCTTCTTTGCTCTTCTGATCTCGTTCTTCTTCTTTCTTCTTCTTTTATTTCTTTCTTCTTCTTTGCTCTTCTGATTTTTTCCTGAAAACTGAGAGCAGCAAAGCAATGATCGGGGTAAAGGTGGGGCAGCGAGGCGGTGGCGGTGGCGGTGGTCGGAGGTGAAAGGGCCGTCCGATCTCTTCTTCTTCTTCTTCAATTCCCGTGGTCGGTGGTCCCATGCCCATGCCAATCCATCTTCAACTCTTCTTTCTTTTCTTCTTTATTGTCCAACTCCATCAGATCTGAGAATTTTGATTCAGATCTGAGGTCAGCGTCAACAAATTCGGCAGTGGCAGCGGAGTACAGGCGCCGGAGTGAGGCGGCAGTCGGAGTTGACGTGGTAGACATCACAACGGCCGTCGGTGATAATAGCAGAGCAGCAAGGAGGGTCGGCCTTGTTGGGGGGCATCCGATTGCACAGAGAAGAAAAGGTTCGGCCTTTGCACAGAGAAGAAAATCGGTGGACAAGAAAAGAAGAGAAAGGATGAGGGATAGAGGGGTAATCTAGGAAAGTCAATGTAAATTTCATCTTTTATTAAACTCTGTGCCAAGTCAAAGTAAGAACTTTAATCTTGGACGGAGGGAGTATATATTATTGAAAGGAGATATTTTATTAAAATGCAAAAAGAGAAAAGTACAAAGAAGGGAGGACTAGGCCAATGCCCCTCTAGAACTGCAAGAAAGAAAAAAACAGATTGAAAAAAAGGAAATTGAATGAAAACAAAAGAAAGAGATCATTCCCAGATGATAAACCCTGGGTGTTGATCGAGAGAGAGATTTTTGGGCATTATTTTCTTCGGTCTTTTCCCATCAGTGCCAATTGGACCAACAGGCCCAACATACCAAAAGGGTCCAGAATAAGTTTTGGTAGTAACTATTTTCTCCATATATATATATATATATATATATATATGGGATTGACTCTAGTGAGATGACATATTACGGTGAGATGACATGCTTCAGTGAGATGACACAAAGCTCACCACATTACACTGCAAAGCTCAGCAATGGCCAATGTAAAACTTACCTGGATATAAAGAAAAGCTCACCACTTTGAACACCAAAACTCACCTTTTTTTAATTTTGAAAATAAGAAAATTAATAAAAAAATAAAATAACAACACCGATCAGAAGTGGCGGCGCGGTGGAGACCGGCGGCGGCCGGCGGCAGAGGTCGCCGGCGGCGGCGTTCGGCAGTGGTCGGCGGCGGCGGCCGGCGGTGATCGGCGGCGGCGGCGGCCGGCGGCGGAGGTCGCCGGCGGCCGGCGGTGGCAGTGGGGTCGCCGGTTATGGTCGGTCAACGGTCAATAAGGATATGATTTTGTAAGAGGATAGGTACGGCCAAAGAGTTTTGTCCTGGCAAGGTACCTAGCTACCGTAAGCACGGGACCCCCCTACCGTCTGGACGGGACCCCCCTACCGTCTGGACGGGACCCCCCTAACGTAAGGGGTACCATAAGAGAATAGGTACCGCCAGAGAGTTTTGGCCTGAGAAGGTACCTAGCTACCGTACGGTACCTAGCTACCGTGACAGGGTACCGTTACCGTTGGAACACAATTTCTCATTGCTGGTTTTTGAATTAATTCAACTCTAATCACCTCATAACGGCTAATTAACATCTTCCACTATAAATATAGGCCTAATACTTCATATTTCAACAAGAAACAAAGCTCCAAACATCCTCTTTTAATATTCTAAGTGTGTTCATTCTTTTATTCATTATTTTCAATATTTTGGCTATTTCAAGAACCTTAAATTTCTAAATTTTATACACACACTTTGAGCTTGTGTTTCTAGTTATATACTCTCATATTCATAAGTTTATATTGTATTTTTAAGAGAGTATAATTTCCTTATATACCGGCTAAGTTTTGTTCTTCATTTTTATATTCTAGCCATTGTGTAGAATCCTCTTTTGTGTTCTTCAAACACACATTGTTACGGTCAAGAATAGCCATTAAATTCTCACACTGTAACGGTCAAGGATAGCCGTATAAATCCTTGGGTAAAGGTTCAAGGATAGCCTTTTAAATCCTTAAGGGAATGGTAGAAGATAGCCGTAAAACTTCATTGTAAACGGTTCGAGATAGCCATTGTGAAATCTCAGAGTGAATCCTATTGGCAAGGGTTGTTTGCCAAACTAGTGCGGTGCTTTGACGAAGTTCAAGAGACCGGAACTTAGTGGATTCGGAAATCCTTGAGAAGGAGCCTCGAGGTACTCGAGTATGGAGTTCCCGAACCAGTATAAAATCGGTGTGCATTTTATTTACGCTTTTATTTCTGCGTTTTATATATTGCTTCCGCATTTGCCAACACCATTTTTGTTAAACTCCGAAAAGTTTTCAAACGCCTTATTCACACCCCCCCCCAGGCGTAGGCACAACGATAAAACCAACTAACAATTGGTATCGGAGCAGTTTCGTAGTTGAAAGTGCTTAACCGCATCTACGACAAAGATCCACTTGTTGTGTCCCTTTTTAAATTTGAAGTTTTAAAATCTCAAAATTTTATTATTTTCTTTAAATTCAAATTTATTGAAAAATGGCCCAAATGGACTTTCAAAGCATCCAACGCCCTCCGTTTTTCAATGGCCAAAATTATTCTTATTGGAAAATGCAAATGAAATATTTTATTCAATCAATTGATTATGATTTATGGTTGAATGTACTTCACGGGCCATTTGTGCCGAGTAGTAGTGATTTTACAGGTTTGTCTTTGGAAGACAAGAGGAAGCTATCAATGAATGCAAAAGCAATTAACATTTTGCATTGCTCTCTTGGTCCCGACGAATTCGCACGTGTTTGCTGTTGCAAAACGGATAAAGAGGTGTGGGATCTACTCCAAGCTAGCTACACATGAAGGAGACACCTCAACAAAACAAACCATGCTAGCCCTCGGGAATTCGGAATACGAATCCTTCAAGAAAGGGTCATGTGAGACAATCTATCCAAGATTCAACGAGATTGTCAACAAATTGAGTAAGTTGGGTAAGACGTATACTACTTCCAAGCTTGATACAAAAATTTTATTTTCTTTACCTAAAGAATGGCATAGTAGTATCGTAGATTTATTACCCAAATGTGATAAGGCCGAAACCGCCCACATTTGGTCTTCCTTATATTCTCACGAACTTTTGTTGAGAAAGATCAAAGAGGAAGAAATGCGTGAAAATGCCAAGCTTACAAATGCCTTCAAATCTTCCAAAGACTCGTCAAGTGAAGAATCAAGCGAGTCAAGTAATTCAAGTGACTCAAGCTCCTCGGAAGAGTCAAATGATGAGGAAGATGAAGAGAAGACAATGAGAATGAAGTATACGGATTTCCTCAAATGGAAGAAGTATGTGAAGAGGAAAGAAGTATATTCAAATCCGAAAAAGAACGACATAAGCCAAGGTAAATGTGTTTCTTGCTTATTGAGATAAGATATTTCATTCATTTTTAAGTGATTTCAAAAATAAAACCTTATCCCATATGTGCTTCTATTTGTTTTAGCCTTGGTTTGCATGATTAAATATATTTTTTTTCAAAATTCGTCTTTAAATCATGCCTTTTTGAAAATAATCCCCAAGAATCCCTGAAAAATAAAATTTTTAAACTTGCATCATTTTAGGGGGAGTTTTCGTTTTTAGGGGGAGTTTCGTTGTAAATGCACCTTTTGCCCAATGATCGCCAAACTATCATTTTTTTAAAATTCATTTTGATAGGGGGGGGGTTTCAAGAAGTTATACATAGTTAAAATTTTCAAAATGCCCTTTTTGATTTTGACAAAAGGGGGAGAAGATGTATACTTCAAAGTGGTGCATATGCAACTTGACTTGAGTGCATTCTTGTGTAACTATTTGCATCAAACTTAAACTTTTAATAAACACAAGAAAAGTTCAAAGTGAGCATTTTCAATATGCTTATTCTTTGGGGAGCTTGCTTGCTTCATTATTTTACTCTCGCCTAACTCACTTTGAAGTATATTGTTTGTCAACGTCAAAAAGGGGGAGATTGTTAGCCTTGGTTTGCTAAGCCTCATGTTTTGATGTTAACAAACAATATAAGAGTTTAATGTTTGTTTAATTAAGTGTTTCAGGTACAACAAGAATCCATTAAGATTCGGTTCTCAAGAATGAAGTCGAAACACTAAACTAGCATAGAATATAGGTAGAAATCAATGTAAGGATATGATTTTATATACCTATATTCACAAGCTCAAAAACACACACAAAATATGTTTAAAACCCTTTTTAATAGTTTTTCAAACATCCAAAAGGTTTTAAATAAAATTAGAAACGATTTGGACAAAATGAAAAAATTGTCAAAATGGTCACTAGGTACCTAGGTACCGTAAACACGGGACCCCCCTACCGTAAGGGGTACCGTAAGAGGATAGGTACTGCCAGAGAGTTTTGTCCTGAGAAGGTACCTAGCTACCGTAAGCACGGGACCCCGTACCGTCTGGACGAGATCCCCTACCGTAAGGGGTACCGTAAGAGGATAGGTACTGCCAGAGAGTTTTGGCCTGAGAAGGTACCTAGCTACCATGACAGGGTACCGTTACCGTTGGAAGTTGGAACACTATTCCTGATTGCTGATTTTTGAATTAATTCAACTCTAATCACCTCCTAATGGCTAATTAACATCTTCCACCATAAATATAGGCCTAATACTTCATATTTCAACAAGAAACAAAGCTCCAAACATCCTCCTTTAATAATCTAAGTGTATTCATTCTTTTATTTATTATTTTCAATATTTTGGCTATTTCAAGAGCCTTAAATTCCTAAATTTTATACACACACTTTGAGCTTGTGTTTCAAGTTATATACTCTCATATTCATAAGTTTATATTGTATTTTTAAGAGAGTATAATTTCCTTCTACACCGGCTAAGTTTTGTTCTTCATTTTTATATTCTAGCCGTTGTGTAGAATCCTCTTTTGTGTTCTTCAAACACACATTGTTACGGTCAAGAATAGCCGTTAAATTCTCACATTGTAACGGTCAAGGATAGCCATATAAAACCTTGGGTAAAGGTTCAAGGATAGCCTTTTAAATCCTTAGGGGAACGGTAGAAGATAGCCGTAAAATCTTCATTGTAAACGGTTCGAGATAGCCGTTGTGAAATCTCGGAGTGAATCCTATTGGCAAGGGTTGTTTTCAAAACTAGTGCGGTGCTTTGACGGAGTTTAAGAGACCGGAACTTAGTGGATTCGGAAATCCTTGAGTAGGAGCCTCGAGGTACTGGAGTAGGGAGTTCCCGAACCAGTATAAAATCGGTGTGCATTTTATTTACGCTTTTATTTTTTGCGTTTTATATATTGCTTCCGCATTTGCCAACACCATTTTTGTTAAACTCCGAAAAGTTTTTAAACGCCTTATTCACCTCACCCCCCAAGGCGTAGGCACAACGATAAAACCAACTAACAAATGCATTATCAAACTTTCTCATCGCAAAGAAAAGCATTCAAAAGTCATTATTCACTAATCCACATATTAATAATATAAAATTTGAATAAAGTTTAAAGGTCAATTTATAGTGCATTTATTGGCCATCACAATGCATTCATATTAGATTGGTAATTCTGGATATGATAGTGCAAATATGAAAATAAATAACATCAAAACTTATATTCAATATTGATACTGTTGGATAGGTCTCAACGAGAGATTTCTAACGGCATATTATTTGTTAAGAACAGGCTTGTGTATAAAAAATTATGTTTAAAATAGACAATGTAGAAGGGTAATTAAATTAAGCAAATTTTATATTATAGTATACTCCCTAATAAACTTTTTCGTATTTAATGAAATTGATTCATGATTACATTAATGCCCTTAAACGTAGAACTTGAGTGATTAGTACCTACTTTTATGAATCATAATTATTACCTACCTTTTTAAAGTTTGATGAACATAATTTCATCAACACCGCTCATGGGATATAATCAGATGCATAAGATTTATTCTCATTTCTTTCACACACACACACAGATATATATATATATATATATATATATATACATATTATTTAAAAAAATTTATTTATTTAAATTAAATAAAAAGGAAAGTACAACCAGAAGGGTGTGGTCCAAAACCCAAACAAGAGGACCCAAACAAATGCAAACAGCCAAATAACCTAAAACACAAAAGATGAACAACAACAACCGGGAAAGTTAAAGTAAAAAAGACCCAAAGGTATTAACCCATAGCATCCAGCAGCCTTAGAACTCCTCTACGTAATTTGTTGAGATCATCCTGGTCCTTCGAAAATCAGTCATAAAGTAGTTTACAAGTCCATGCTTTCAACCCCTTCACCTTTGAACCTTGAATTGCAGTCCCGTAAACTTGTGATTTTATTAAACAAACTTTGGCTTCCCCTTTCCATGTGGTAGCAAACAGAATACTTCAAAGGAATAATGGAGCATTGAGAAAGCCTACCTAAAGTTCCTGCAATTATAATACCCAGGACCCCCACACCCAGCCCTTCACATAATCCATATAAGTATGTTGATCCCAAAACCCATAATACCATTGCATTCCTAGGATTCTTCATCAGCTCCAAGACGCTTATTTTAATTCTCCTATGGCTCACCAGAGAGGAATTCTGCCACTGTTTCCTTATCTCACCAGACCACCCCTGGTGAGATGGTCTAAACTTTAAACGGGGATCCTTACGACCCGAGTTCGATCCCCAGAGAGGGCGACTTTGGGGGAATTTTAGAAAAGTTAAGTGTGCTGCTGCTGGAGTAGTGAGAGGATGGGTGACCCCCTGGGAAGGCTACCAGGAGTGGCTCTATAGTGGACTTCCTACCCACTATATATATATATATATATATATATATATATATATATATATATATATATATATATATATATATATATATTACAGTAATGTCGGAGATGCATTCGCCCCACCAAATAAAGAAAGCTAAACAAAAAAGCATTGAGAATTATTCCTGCTAAAATGCAACCGAAAGCCCAAGGATTTCAAAGTTTCATCCAGGTGCATCCATTTCTTGCCATTGTGTATCCATATCCATTGTTGTATAGTCTTCATGGTTGTTGCAATGATATTCCCTTCTTTGAAAGCTTTCCCCTCGTACTTCTCTTCGTTGTAAGCCTTCCAGAATCCCCATGCAATGAAGCCTGGTAGAACCGAGTTGATTTTATCTTGCAGCTTAGCCCTAGGCGTGCATACCCACCATTTCATGCATGTCTCGTGTAGGTTTTCTACCCTATTAGGAATAGGGCCATTAAAAACAGCAGAGAAGAACCTCCAAATTTTGAAAGACATTTGGCAATGAAAAAGGGTATGGTTGAGTTCCTGCGGACTGTTGAAACAGAACCTGCATTGGGAAGGAAACGCCAGGTTAAACCTGGATAAGTTTTCCGGAAAAGGAAGTATATTGTTAAAAGCTTTCCACAGAAACAGGCTGATCTTTGGGATATGAAGCTTGTTCCAGATCATCTTATGAGAAAGAGAGGAAGGCCTAGAGTCCCTCCAGGCGTGGTATGCTAACTTGGTGGTGAATGGCTCTCCCTCCCAGGTGTCTGCTTCTTCCACTTTAAGGACATGCTGTAAGGCCCAGTTATGAATCCTTGCAGCCCTTTTCCATGTCACAGTGTCCTTAGGACGTTCTTGAAAAGAATCTGGGTATCTACTCCTCATGTATTCTCCCCAAATGCTATGGGAGTTCCTAATCTTCCACCAAAGTTTGGTTGAGTATGCTGCTTCTACATCTTCCAGGTGTCTAATGCCCAGACCTCCCTCATGTTTTGGGAAGCATAGTCCTCTCCAAGATACCCAATGATATTTAGGCCTTCCCTCTTTGTATCCCCATAGAAAGTTCTGCATCTTCTTGTTCAACATGTTGTGAATAGATTTGGGCATTTGCTGGACAACAACAATGTGTAAGGGTATAGAACTGAGGACATGCTTAATGAGAATCAAACGCCCCATTTGGTTTAGCACCTTGCTATACCAAGTGTTAAGATAGGCATCAAAGTGTTGGACAATTTTCTTGCAATCTTCCTTCCTTAGTTTTCCTTTTCCAATTGTTGCCCCTAAGTAATTTAGAGGTAATTTGCCCTCTCCCATTTGAAGTGCCCTTTGCATGTTAGCTTTGATTTCTGGCTTCACTCTTGGACCAGTGTAGAAGTGGCTTTTGTTGAGATTGATCATGTGTCCTGATGAATTGAGAAAGCAGTCAATAATCCTTTTAAATCCGAGCAAGTTTCTGAAATGGCCATTTAGGAAAAAAATTATGTCATCTGCATATGCAAGGTGGGAGGGGGGTTGGCTTCTCCCTGTTTGGATGGCTTTAAGGTAACCCTCCTCAACCTTCCCCTTAATCATTCTACTTAAACCTTCATTTCCAAGTATGAAGAGAAGGGGGGAGAGAGGGTCACCTTGCTTAACCCCTCTCTTCATTTTGAAAAACCCATGAGGAGATCCATTAATGAGAATGGAGAAATGGGTGGCCTTGAGTGTGGAGAGGAGAAGGTGGCAGGACTGTGAGGAAAAGCCGAAGGAGTTTAGAGTAACCTCTAAGAATTGCCAAGAAATTCTGTCAAACGCTTTTGCAAAGTCCACTTTGATAGCAATGTTGGCACTTCGAGACGGGTTATCAAGGTAGTGGATCATCTCCTGGGTAAGGAGGATGTTTTCTTCCACTCCTTTACCTGGTTGAAACCCACTTTGCTCAGGGCTGATGAGTTTGTGAAGTAGTGCACCCAGTCTATTGGCTAGTATCTTAGTGTTGATTTTTGAGAGGAAAGTTGACAGTGAGATTGGCCTGTAATCTCCCAAAGATTTAGGGTTGTCCATCTTAGGAATCAGAGTGAGGAGAGTGGCCTCGTAGGATTTTGGAATGGGCAGGCCCAGGAAGAACTCTTGGGTTGCTCTAGTCACTTCTTCATGGACTATGTGCCAGAAGGTTTTGAAAAAAGTCCCAGTGTATCCATCTGGGCCTGGTGCACTATGGGAGTTGAGGTCCCAGATGGCCCCCCTTATTTCCTCCTCTTGTGGAACAACACAAAGCATTTGGTTTTCCCCTTCATTAATGTTCTTAGGTATATATGAGAGCAGATCTGGGTTAATACTGACTGGTTCTTCAGAGTAGATCTTGGTGTAGTAATCAATTGCGTGTGAAGCAATGTTACTGTCCCCCTCGATGGTCAGGCCAAGATCATTCTTGATGGAGGAGATCCTAAGCTTCTGGCGCCTATTTTAACCACATTATGAAAGAATTTTGTGCTTGCATCCCCCTCTTTTAACCATCTGATGCAAGACTTCTGCCTCCAAAAGTCAGTTTCTCTTTTGGAAAATAAGAGTAATTCAGCATTGGCCTTGTTAAATTCAACCAAAGATTCCGGGTTTGGGTTTGCCTCAAAATGGTCTTGTGCCCTGCTTGCCCTAGATTCTGCCTCCTTAAGTTGCTGGAAGATGTTACCAAACACCTCCTTGCTCCATTTGGACAAAATGGCCTTGAGATCCTTGAGTTTTCTCCCAAGGCCTTTCATTCCATTGTAAGTTTTATTGCTCTCCCAAAAAGATCTGATGGTGCCTTCTAAAGTGTGGTGTGAAACCCACAAGTCCAAGAACCGGAAGGGTTTGGGACCAGAATAAGTATCCAAGGAGAGTTCCAAGAGAAAAGGCCGGTGATCTGATGCTCCCTTACTAAGCATAGAGAGTTGTAGACTGCTAGTCCTATCCAGCATCTGTTGGTTGCTAAAAACATGGTCCAGTCTGCGCCAAAGCTTCCCATTGCTTCGTTTCCCACTCCAAGAAAAATCTCCTCCTGAAGGATGAATGTAAAGGAGATTGCCAGCTTCCATGCATTCTCTAAAATCCTCCACTGAGTTATTGCAAGGATTGCACTTTCCTTTGTGTTGGTCAAGGCTGTGGATGCTGTTAAAATCTCCTCCAATGATCCATGGATGTATGCTAGGGGCCCTATATGGCATTCCATAATGCAGTTCTTTCAGCCCTGGTGTGCCTGCCATAGACAGAAGAAATCCACAATGGGCCAAGCATTGCAGCTGATGTGAATTGGCAGTGAATGATTTGGGGGCATTCAACTGTTTGGATCAGAATTAGACTTGGTTCCTTCCAAAATATCCATAGTTGATTATTCAGATGGTTGGATGCATTGGTCATACCCAACATATGCTTATAATCCTCCAACTGGTTATTATCTAGCAGGGGTTCCATAATAGCAATAAAAGAGAGATTATGAGAAGAAGAAAGGGTTTGAAGTCTAGGGGAAGACTTCTTTATTCCTCTAGCATTCCAAAAAAGCAAAAACATTAAAGTGATTTGGGTTTAGTTGTAGTTTTGTTCCTCAAAGACATGCTAAGAGGTGGCAAAGGGGTCTTGAGACCTCTACCCTTCATGAAAGGGACTGCATTGATATTAGCCTGAGAAAAATTGTTCTCCAGGGCATGAAGAGGACTCTTATCCTGAGCCCTCTCACCTTCCTCATCAGAGTGAATGCATGTAGGGGTACCTGGGGTGTCAATGTCCTCAACGGTGGAGAGAAGTGCCAGGTAGTTCAAAGGAGAGGAGTGTTCATTATTAGCTCCTACCTGTTTGCAAAATGAGGCCTTGTGGGTTTGTAGTTTAGGTGGGCTGGATAGGCCTGTTGAGGAGAGACTGTGCACCAGTGGGCTGGTAGTTGGCCCAGCTTCAAGTTTGGATGAGACACTTGGGCTTTTTGGGGATCCAATAACATTATGCAAATTGGGCCTGTTTTGCTCTGTGTACCCCAACTTGGAAGGGCCCGGAATGTCTGGGCATTGCTTGTCTTTGTTCGTTTGCCCATTAGCCTGAGTGTGCTGGATGTCTGCCATCACATTATGAGCTGTTGTCTTTCCTTTCCTCTGAATACGGACCCACTGATGTGTGTTATTTGGCTTGATCTCCTTATCAGCTTGTTGCCTTACCAAGATTGCCCCGTCGGTGAGGACTTTTCCGACGGGTTGGGATTTTTTGCAGCAGTGACCCCAGCGTCCACAAGTCATGCAGTAAGAAGGAAGGTCATAAGTGAGTTGTATTTCACGTTCCCATGTAGGAGTACGTACCAGAATGACATGTTGTTTGGGTTTGGACGCGTCCATATCCACCAGAACTCTTGCAGAATTGAAATATCCACCCCTCGCTGTGGTCTCATCCATTTGAATGGGTTTCCCTAGAGTTTTCACAATAGAGAATAGACATTGGGCGTTTGTAAGGAAGAAGGGGATGTGCTTGAGCGTGACCCAGACGAGAGCCAAAGGGCTGTCACGTTTATCCTCTAAAAGAGGATCCCATTTAGAGAGATACATCTGGTGACCATTTGCTCTCCACGTCCTTCTAGATAACAGCCTTAGGAAGTCAGTTTGTGTTTTGAGGATGATAACTACATTGAACCTGCTAATGGAGATGACACGGAGTCCAGAAAAACCTCCCCTCTCCAAGGATTTACCAATGTCTGCAACCTGCAAGTCCTTAGCAAACCTGGCTTTAATGGAGAATGGATAGGAGTCACCAATCCTCCTTATGTCCTCTGTGTTAAAGGTGATCAGAGGTTTACCCTTGCTGGTGGAAGAGATGGCTCCCTCGTCATCAGCTGTTTTGAATAGGTCGGAGAATAGTTTCACCGGCTTGCCGGAAACCGGCATCTTTCTCTCTCCCTCACTAGAAAATATCATCTTCCATATATATATATATATATATATATATATATATATAGAGTTTGGTTCCGGTGAGAAAGAGATCTAATGAAAGAAATAAGAATGCCTTATAGCCATTAGATCTTGATCCATCTAGATGGTTCTTATTATTTACATACGGGGCATTTTGGGATTTTTGCTTCTTAGTCGTACCTTTCCTATTATATCTCCTTAAAAGTTGCGCAGGACTTCCTTACTTTTTGGCTTCCGTTTCTTCATCTGCAAAGTAATTCTCTTTGTTTCTTCATCAAAGGCCAAACTTTGCAGCAGAAATTGAGGTTTGTTCTCCTCATTTCTTTTCAATTTCTTGATCAATTCATCATCAACCCATGTTTCTTTTTAATTTTATGGCTTTTCTTGAGGTGGTGCAAAATTTCTCCGAGGTTTGAGATCGGCAAAACACTCCCAAAGATCTGAAATTTTATGTGATTTGTTTGTTGGTTTCCTTTCGTGGTTCGTTTTTTTGTGTGTTGTTGTTAGTCTATTTGCTCAGCTTTGGTTCAAGGCACTATGATGAATACAAGGTGTTTGATAAAATGCCTTAAAGAATCAAATGAACAAAATTGATGGTGAGGACAGCCTTAATGCAGTCGAGGGATCTCTTAATGCCTCTAAAACAACCTCAATATGCATTTCCATAAACTGATATTGGACACAATCAAATGTCTCACACAAGGTTATGCATTCTTGTCGTGAATAATTTATAAACAATCTTTTGTTTGCTTCTTTATTTATTCTAATATTTAAGTTATGTGTATTTTTTATGAATATATACCAACTCTTGAATCAATGTTTTTGTTGCTTCTCTTGTACTCAAATTTTTAGGTTCTCTGCATTCTCATAGTCAAATAATGCATTCTTACTTCACAGTGTTGCAAAGAAAACGTGAGGCTTTTGGTAGACACCCCATTCATGCTATTCTTTAATTTTTTTGTTCATTTTTTGTTAATTGGATATGCATTGAGGCACGATGATAATTAAAAATGACTTTTTTTGTTTCTATTGAATCTTTGTTTCAATAAGATTTTTTCCTCTTGCATATACCTTTGTTCCTACAGAACTCTTTTCTGTTTCAACTTTGTTACTATGGGATTTTTTTGTTGCATTTTGTTATACATCTTATCTCAATGTTATACAATCTTAGTTGGATATTGTTTTAAACGCACCATTCTTTGTTGCTTTGTAAAATTTTGGTACATCACAGATTCACATTTTAAAGTGTGGCTTGCATTTTGAAGTGCATGTCTTGCATTTTGAAGTGCACGTCTTGCATTTTGGTCAACATCTATCTTTTACAGAGTATATCTCATATGTAGATGGTAAATTAGATCACTCTTATAATGCACAGATTTACTGAACATATACAGAAATTGTTATGATTTATGCACTTATCAAAATCTTTCATTTTGACCATTATTTGTTTCTTCATATACAAAGATTGTTATGATTTATGCACTTATCAAAATCTTTCATTTTGACCATTATTTGTTTCTTATATGACACTAGATGCTCCTAGGGCCATGTTTAATGCATATTCAATCCCTATCTTGCATTTTTAAGTCTGTGCATTGCACTTTGAAGTGCCTCTCTTGCACTTTGATTAACATCTATCTTTCATATTGTATATGTAGATTCTAAATCATGTCACGTTTTATTAGGGCTGATTCCTACAAAGATTCGGCATATTGTGGGCCAGATCCACACATTAATGTGAGTGTATGACTGCTTCTTTGTGTATACTTTTTTTATGAATGGTTGAATATGAAGCTTTGTAACTAACTAATTATTTTTTGGATTGTTTTATATGAAGCTTCAAAAGATGCATATGAATTATTAATTTGTAATTGCTTAAAAGACATCAAAACATATATTAAAAAAATAATGCATTTAGAGTATGTTGTGATGCATTTGAATGCAGGTTAGATACATGCCATTTTGATGCATTTCAATGCAGGTTAGATGCAAGTGAGTGTTCATCTTGATAATCCAGACTTGATAAAGATGTCTTTTATTCTTTGAAGGGAGACTTCATAGTGATGCAGTTTTACCTTATTAATTTTTGCAAATGATGATGCATCTAAAATATGAAACTTATCCATGAGATAGTGAATTTCTTCTAACAAAAATATGGTGCATATCTAATTGAGTATAGATTAAAAGCACATTGAATGAATGAATAAATGAATGAGAATCTCTTTGAAAAAACAAATTGTTGCCTATTAGCTCAAATGGTAGAGCACTATGTACTACATGTGTGGGTTCGAATCCCACATAGGCAAACTATTTATCATATTTGTATTACACTCATTCCCAATACATTGCATTCTCATGCTTTCTCATTACATACATAGCTACATAAGAATCATTTTTCACTAATCTATAAATTAATAAAATAAAATTAGAATAAAATCTATAGAACAAATCATGATGCATATATCGCTCATCACAGTGTATTCACATTATATTTGATGCATATATCGCTCATCACAGCATATCACAGATTCACAAAGCGTCTCCCCAAGATAAATTTTAAAAAAGGGATAAATTAAATACATTTAGTTGAATTTGTAAATCCTACTTTAAAATATAAGCAGAAGATAATATCATAATTTTATATTCAATATTGGTGTTGTTATGTAGATCTCGACGAGAGGTTTCTTATGACATATTATTTGTCAAGAATGGACTTATATACAAAAATTTATAAATATAATAGACATTGTAACACAATAATTAAATGAAATGAAAATTAATATAATAATACTCCATATAATAATATTCCTAGACTGAGTAATTTACGGACACTCCACAAATGCATTATGAATAATGATTTTACCAAATTGCCCATATGTAATCATTTCTCCCTATTTTAGTGGAGTCGTGTCACTCCTTCCATAAATAAAATTGAAGTTAATTGTGGAGACTTTTAAAAGTTTAGCCATCCAATTAACTAAATCTAATGAAGTTAATTCAAGAGTCATTCTCACCTGAACCAACCCCATATATATATATATATATATATATATATATATATATATATATATATATATAGGAATTGACTCCAGTGAGATGACACATTACGGTAAGATGACATGCTTCGGTGAGATGACGCAAAGCTCCCCACATTACACTGCAAAGCTCACCCATGACCAATGTAAAGCTCACCTGGGAATAGAGCAAAGCTCACCACTTTGAACATCAAAACTCACTTTTTTTTAATTTTGAAAATTAAAAAATTAATAAAAAATAAAATTGCATGACCGGTCAACCACCGGTCAGCGGCGGCGAGGCGTCGGAGACAGGCGGTAGTCGGCAGTGGTGGTGGAGGTCGGCGGCCGGCGGCGGCTGCCGGAGTCCGGCGACGGCGGCAGCGGAGGTCGCCGGTGGTGGTCGGCGGGGGTCGCCAGCGGCCGGCGGTGGCTGCCGGAGTCCGGCGACGGCGGCAGCGGCGGTGGCCGGCGGTGGTCGCCGGCGGCCGGAGGTCGGCAGCGGCAGGGGTCGCCGGTGATGGTCAACGGTCAATGGTCAAAGTCCAGTCAGTATCACTTCCTTTAATTTTTTTCAAAAAAAATTCAAAGTGTTGAAAAAATATGGTGAGCTTTGCCTTACAGTTTGGTGAGCTTTGTAGTTGTCCTTGGTGAGCTTTGCAGTGTCCAGTGGTGAGCTTTGTGTCATCTGACCGTAGCATGTCATCTCACCGTAAGGTGTCATCTGATTGGAGTCAATCATATATATATATATATATATATATATATATATATATATATAAGGGACCCGGTGCCTGGTTCAAGGGCTAAGGGTCAGGAATGGTCATGTCACCTGGGGCTATGGGTGACTGGGGAGGCGAAGAAGAAGGATGGGAGGATGACAGCGAGACAGACTCATCAGATCCATACGAGTGGACCGACGGGTTTTGACTGTCGGATGAATAAAATTAATAAAATTGCACACAGATATATAAAATTACAATAAATAAGTTCTATAAGGTATATTCAATATTCTATTAATAAAATTACACACACACACACACACACACACACACACACACACACACACATATATATATATACTCCCTCCGTCCACAAATAAACTTTACGTTCACTATTCACAGGGTCAAACTTTATTCACTTTGTTGGCCTATTTTCGTCACCCATTTGATAAAATAATATAGTCATGTCACCTCTAGTTTTGTAGATCTTTTGATATAGATTTTTAATATGTAATTTTTATTTTTCAATTCTACACCATTTTTCATATAAAATGATTTGAAAATAACTTCAGTCAAACATCGTAACGCGTAATTTAAAGTTTATTTGTGGACGGAGGGAGTATATAAAAGGGACCTGGTACCTGGCTCAAGGGCTGAGGGTCAGGAATGGTCATGTCACCTAGGGCTATGGGTGACTGGGGAGGCGAAGAAGAAGGATGGGAGGATGACAGCGAGACAAACTCATCAGATCCATACGAGTGGACCGATGGGTTTTGACTGTCGGATGAAGACATGACCGGGAAGGGAAAAGGGACGAGAAAAGAAGACTCGGAGGACTTACTTGCGGCGCTAGAATGATGCTCGGAGGACTAAGGGGGCGAGGATAACTAGGAGGCGCTCTAGAGGAGAAATAAGGAAAAGTGAAAAGGGTTAGAGAGGAGAAGCCATTATATAGGAGATATGTCATTGGACCCCGCACTAGGCTGCCGGTTTTAGCAAACTGCGCGAAGACATGTAGCATGGGGGTAATAATTACCTGACGCAGGTAAGGATTGATGCTTAGGGAAGACAGAACAACGCGACAGTGGTAGTTGAGCGACAAGATTTGAATTTCAAAGTTTGAAATTCAGGCGGCAAAACTGTTAGTGTTTAAAAATACCCGAATTTGAAGAAATTACTTTCCGCCTTTGATAGTTTCTACAAGGCTGTTAAGTGGAGGACTTATTGATGGGTGTATTCCCACCCAGGACCCGAATCGGGTCTGGTACTACAGGAACCAACTGGGCAATACGTCAACCAGTTTGTTACAAGGAAATTGGGGTGAGCACAAATCTGAACGGTTGGGTATCAAACCCACCCAAGTGGATTGACACTCGTGACATTACCTATCAAGAAGCATGTCCCGCTGAAAAGATCTGCATATCACCAAGACATCCCTTCGAAGAAATCTAGGTAATGATCTGGTCAGACCAGATCCCATGCACCAACAGATATATCCAAGCACCTTGGCCAAACACTACATGCCAAGGGAGATAGTCATGGAGCATAACATCCAGAGGAAGGAGGGAACGCTACAAGAAAAAGGGCCATCACCTCGTCACGTGATTAGCAAGTGGCCAGGCATGGGTGCTTGCCACCCTGTCCCCTAGCTTCACAATAAATGCACTTGTAACCCTCACTAGAAGAGATCTGAATTTCATCTCTCTAAACACCTATTGTGTAATATCTCCTTGTACTCTTCTCATATTTAATAACAATTTGGGTACACGTATTCCCACCTGTAGTCCTCCCGGTCAACCTTCATTTTCTGTGTTCTTTTAGTCGCTAAACTACGCAAACCACCCCTAGACCCGATCTAGCGTAGTTTGCCCAAGTGGTTAATTTACACCATCAATGAATATGCAATGCATTAAATAAATTAAAGTATACACAATAATTTATTTTAGTCTTTTAATCAAATTGTATTAATAAATAAAGAAATGTCCCTGGATAAGAGTAAACAAAGTTTGAAAATATCAAAGTAGAAGTCATATATCTTTTAAGACCAAAATAGGAGTATAATGGGAGTGTGGTATAAGAATACGCATTGGAAGTGTGATGTAAAATTGATAACAATGTTATATGTTAGTGTAATCAGTCAACAGTCACTAATCTGCAGCGGTACTCTGGTGGGAGTGGTGGCCGGCGGTGACAGATGGCAGTGTGGCGTTGATAATGTGCACTTACAATGTGATAATGTGGTGAGTGTGTCAGTGTACCAATAACAGCGTGAACTCCTATTTTGGTCTTAAAAGACTTATGACTCATTTTTGTTATTTTCATAATTTTTTAAGTTCTCCCTAATAAATAAGTTCTATAAGGTATATTCAATATTCTATTAATAAAATTACACACACATATATTTGAACATTTGAAACCAGGTGCCTGGTGACCAATGATTTACACTCCGAGTGTAAATTTGAACATTTGCTCCTTTTTTTTTTTATTTTTTTACATTCAATTAGAACCGATCCATAACTAGATAGTTTTCAAAATTAAGGATATTATGGTACAACAATAAGTACGTAAGAAGAGAATTTATTAAATATTATTAAAATATAATGATTTTCTCAATGTAGTACCTAATATTTTTATTTTCTAAAGTTGTAGCACTAGTTATTGTCTACTGGTAATTGTTCAAATAAATGCTCATCGCCATTGGACATTGTTCAAATTATAATATCCACCATCACTGGACATTGTTTTCACTAGACACCATTCAAGTATTGTTTAAGAAAATAAAAAAATTTAAATATTACATTGGGAAATGATATAGAGAGTATGTTTTGGTGCTACTCTGTACTTAGTTCAAATTTCACTACATAATATTTTGAAAATATTTTTTAAGATAAATCCAATTAAATTGTCGGGGTATCAACATAGATTTTATTTAATTAATAATCAAAATTTATGGAAAATCTATTTATTTAATTAATGTTGGATGTATTTTCAAATTGCAAAACTGAAGTAATTTCACTCCGGGTTAATTCTGAAATCGCCCACGTGGCAGCTCGAAACAGCGAGTAGGAAACACTACTCTTTCCCCTCCCTCCCTTTTCAGCTCTTTAAACACCCAAGAACGGCCAGGCTCCGTTCCACCACCGTCAAGCTCCAAATCTAGAGAGCGAATCAGGAAGACCGCCGGAACTTTGCAATCCGCCGCCGCAACCAAACCGCACCGGGATATCACCATCTGCATACGGAGATAGTCAGATTGAGAGAGCAGAATCCGAAAATGGCAGGGAGATTGGATCTGGACGGAAATCCGATAAAGCCGCTAACGATATGCATGATCGGCGCCGGAGGATTCATTGGCTCCCACCTCTGTGAGAAGCTCATGGAGGAGACGCAGCATAAGGTGCTCGCCGTTGACGTCTACAATGACAAGATCAAGCACCTTCTCGAGCCGGCCTCCAACCTCTGGGCAGACCGCATCCAGTTCCACCGCCTCAACATAAAGAACGACTCTCGCCTTGAAGGCCTTATCAAGATGGCAGATCTGGTAATTTCTCTCCCTATTCGCTTTCCGGTATCTGCATGTCATCTATGGCTATGAGGATTGTCATGGATTTCCGTTTTCCTTTGAAGTTTCTGAATTGTGTGTACTTTAGATTATTGAAACGACATTGCATGTCATTTTTTCTTATTCCGGTTTTCATTTTTCACCTTTGCCTTCTCCAATGTCACTTTTGCCCTATTTTATTTGATTCTTAGCAGTAATTTTTAGAAAGTTATCGGGTTTCTCTTAGGATGTATTTTGTTTCGAGCTTAAACTGACTGCATGCAATGAGATCCATTTCCTTTCGCCTTCCAAATGTTGTTATCTCAATTTTCGAAACATGATAAATCCGTTCATGAATTATTGTGAGAGGCTGTGTTGTAAATTTGAATCTTGTGCTGTAGACCATAAATCTTGCTGCGATCTGCACTCCGGCCGATTATAACACCCGCCCGCTTGACACAATTTACAGCAACTTCATTGATGCTCTACCCGTGGTATGTATATTTGTAATTTCCTTAGTGTTATTGATTCTAATTGGAATTCGGGGTTAAAATTGGTATTGGGGAGCATTTATGGAGGATTGGATTTGAGTGTCTTGACATTGAAGTGGACTTCCAATTTCAGGTCAAATACTGCTCAGAGAACAGCAAACGTCTTATTCACTTTTCCACTTGTGAAGTATATGGGAAAACCATAGGCTGCTTCTTACCCAAAGATAGTCCATTGAGACAGGTGAGCCTTCAATACAATACCTGGTGTCCTAGGTCTTATATTCAATATCTGTTAAGTGTTAAGTGTTTTCCACTCCGGAATGGTTGCCAACCATTGTGGAACCTTGGATCATTGTGGTTCCTTGGATCTCCTATACCTGCGATCTCAGAGTGGGTATTTGTACTTTTGGTCTTCAAGTTCAAAACCAACCTGATCTACTGTTGAAATTGTGTAAAGAACTAAAAACTGGCATTTTAAGTCTATTATTGAAAATGTGTGATGAACTAAAATGTATATTTTAGGATTAAAAGTGGCATTATCAACAGTAGAGGGATCACGTCTGGTTAACTTGAACTCAGGAACTAATATGTGAAAATTTTAAGTCAAAGAACCAAAGCTGGAATTTACTCTAGTTCTAGTTGATGCTTCACGACTGACGGGAAAAAAGTGTGAGGTTAACTGAGAAACTTTAATGTGATATCAGTTTCTATTAGAAAGCAATCTAATGTTGTAAACTGATCTATTATCTAATGGGAGACCAAGTGCTTTAAGGATTGTGCAAGTTGGAATATTTCTTGTATTTCTCCAGTGGCAATGTTTGATGTCCAAAAAATATGTCCTCACAGCTCCTGAGGCAAAGGGTTAGCCGTTGATTTAAATTTATTTGATTACTTTATAGTTCTGGTAATATTACTTCTCTGGTTGTATGTTTGCCAGAAAACTTCACCAACTTATAAAATGCTTTCTTGACATTGTAAATGCCATGCTTAGACTAAACCAATTCATGTGCTATATCTAAATATTTAAAATTGCACCATTTGTTAGGATCCTGCATACTATGTTCTGAAGGAAGATGCCAGCCCTTGCATTTTTGGCCCTATTGAGAAGCAGAGGTGGTCCTATGCATGTGCAAAGCAATTGATTGAGAGGTTGATCTATGGTGTGTGAACTTTTCTGCTCTAGTCTAGATTTAAATAGTACTCTCCCCCCCCCCCACCCACACACACACACACACATTCTCTGCAAAAGGTCATTTATCAAATCTTTTTTTGTCACAAAATGGAGTCTCATTTCATTTAAAAAAAGTTACAAACATGTTTAATGCTAGCATTTACGTTTAGTTGAACTAACAAATTAATTTTAAAAATATACTTGTAAATGTTATTCCATGATTTTTTACAAGTTTGCCTTGCCAAAAGTAAAAAGTACTGTGACCAGATGAGATTTTAGTAGGGGCTGAGGGAGTTGATAATTTAAATATCCACTTTTCTGACATGACATGCTTCTTTTACAGCCGAGGGTGCTGAGAATGGTATGGAATTCACCATCGTGAGACCCTTCAACTGGATTGGTCCTCGGATGGATTTCATTCCCGGCATTGATGGTCCCAGTGAGGGTGTTCCAAGAGTTTTGGCATGTTTCAGTAATGTATGTTTAGTTTATCGTGAAACTAAATCAGTTGGTTATCTTGTGCTATATCACATATATTTATTGAACTCTTCTTTTGTTCAGAACCTTTTGAGGCGTGAACCATTGAAGCTCGTAGACGGAGGCCAGTCTCAAAGAACCTTTGTTTACATCAAAGATGCCATTGAAGCTGTTGTCTTAATGATTGTGGGTCCTATTGTCTTTGTTCTTTTTGTTCTTATGCTAATACACACTCTTTTGTGCTGATGATAGGCTATCTGTTGTGGTTTTTTCTTAGGAAAATCCTTCGAGAGCAAATGGCCATATTTTCAATGTTGGCAATCCTAAAAACGAAGTAACTGTCAGGCAACTTGCTGAAATGATGACTCAGGTGAAATGAATGAACGAGTTTCTTCTTGCTGAAATTATAACACTTTTGTCAAAGTTTTGTTTAACTTGCGTTCTCCTCCTCCTCCTCCTCCTCAGGTATATTCAAAAGTGAGCGGGGAATCTGCACTGGAAACACCAACCGTAGATATAAGCTCAAAAGAATTCTACGGTGAGGGGTATGATGACAGCGACAAGAGAATTCCAGACATGTCAATCATCAACAAACAACTCGGTACTCAATGCGATTCCCATGTCTCTCTCTCTAAGCAATACGAATGATAACAGAAACTTGACATTCATTTTTTTTAATCAGGCTGGAATCCAAAGACATCACTTTGGGACTTGCTAGAATCCACACTCACTTACCAACATAGAACATACGCTGAGGCCATCAAACAGGCAACTTCAAAGCCAACCGCAAGTTGATGGAAAAATTCTCACTACGCGTCGCAGCTGTAAGCATCTTCATGTATCGGGTTGTGTATCAATGTCTTTAGACTGTAGATTTTTCATTCTAGTTCGAAAACGTGTGTCGTGTGCGCTAGCTAGTGTTTGTTTCCTGCTGCTAGTATGAGCTTTAACTGTGTGCCTTATGTGCATTCTATTTCCGGAAAGCTACTTCTCTTTGAGGGGGGGTTTCTTGTGTACCATTAGAACCACATGGTACCATTTTGGCTTGGAACTCTCCTTTGTCTTTAATCCAACCATTTTTCAATTGTTCTTTCTTTTTAATGGAAAAACATGTGGCTCGGGAAATTTCTTTCGCCTACAAATCCTAGTGTTGTTCTTTCGTAGTCCTAAGGTCCACATATAAAATATAGACTTTTTCACAAATTTCATAGGCTGGCAAGTGAATCTTTTTTTTTTGTAAAAGGTCCAATTCTTTTATTATATTAATACACTAAGGTCCATAAGTGAACTTAGACACCTTAGAACCAAATAAGAATTTGTCCAAATTATAATGGTACCTTAAAATTCAGTGAAAGAGTACAAGATATACAACTCACTTTGACTTGCATGTATCTTTAAGATCTTGTACAAATGGTACTTACTCGATGGGCCATATACTCATCATACGAAATAAAGTAAAAACTTGGGCCTGTTATATAATGCTTGTTACGATCAAGTGCATGTTTTACTATATCTCTGTACATGTCTGGTGGCGGTGTTTGGTTTAAAATGGGGTTTTTGTTTATTTGCAATTCTTTTGAACTGTACGTTTCAAAAGGTGGCTTATGGTTTTTTGTAGGTAAGATATCACCTACTGTATTAACTACTCCGTACTTTCTTTGTTCGAAAATTAATTTTTCACATTTTTAATTATTTTAAAATTAATTTCTCATTTCCTTTTAGACTTGCTTACTTTACTATTTTACTCCCTCCGGCCCGTTTTAAATCACCTCTTTTGACTTTTGGACATATTTAAGGAAGAGAAAAAATAGAGTTAATTTTTCGAAATTGACATTATTTTTTAGGTATTTTACTCTTAAAAGTTTACGATAACAAGTAACAAGCAACTTATTTTGGGACGGAGAAAAAAGACAAACAGGTAATTTAAAATGGAACAGAGGGAGTATATATTAAATTATTAAACGGTTAACATATTTAATACATTCCCCTTCACTTTTATTTTTTAAAAAGTAGGTACTCCGTATATGAATTTATGTGCCCCGTAATTTTTTTTTTTTGCAATATAATGATACGGTGATACTATCGGAACCTATCATGAGAACGTATATTGAAATATTAGATATGGAAATGAAAGCACAAGTTTGCATTAAAACAGTACTCCGTAGAACAACTTTGTTAAAATAAAAGGTGTACAAATTTAGAAGATCATGAATTGAAAGAATAAAAGATAATGAGTCTCTACATTTAAAAAATAATGAGTTTTTTTCTAATTCATACCATATCAAACTATTAATGAGTTTTGTAAATTGTAATAATGATAGTAATAGTAATAGTAATAGTAATAGTAATAGTAATAGTAATAGTAATAATAATAATAATAATAATAATAATAATAATAATAATAATAATAATAATAATAATAATAATAATAATAATAATAATAATAATAATAATAATGAAATAATAATAATGAACGAATATCAAAAGAAAGACAACACAATGCAACAGTTCATTTCATGATAGTCAGTTTCAAGATTTTGTATCCCGGTTCTATTCACTTGAATTGTTTCATAAATATTTTGTTACGTTATCGAGTGTAATTGTATGCTTATAATTAATATAGTTGATCAATTTTTTAGCGTATAATATAAAATAAGAATTAAATCATGTGTACCTGACAATTTTGTAAACGCAGTTAGAGATGAGATCATGATTCTAATGAGGATCGAGTTCCCGTTTAGGGTTTATTCTTGTGAAGCAATCATCCTAAATAGGACTAAAACATAGAGAAAGTACCAAAATAAGAGTTTTATGTTTTTATTCCCTAAATAGGAGATCATACTGTGGTAATGTAACATTGTACATATGCATTTTATGTAATGTACATGGTTATGATTGGTAATGTAAATGCATTTTAACTCATATTTCAGAAATAAAAGTATGAAACTCAGATTTTGGTATATTTTTAATGTTTTATTCCTACTTTAGTCTTTTGATGGCTAATGTTTTGAGACTCGCAAAAATAGAGAGTGAGAGGAGAGGCATGAGATTGGTGTGCAAACCGCTGCCTAATAGTCTCTTTTTATATACACCCAAGAGAAAGTCCTAATTAGGTCGTATGGGAGATTACGTTCATCGAATAATCATTTATGATGAGCATTAGGAAATTAGATAATGATAACTCAGGCTACATATTAAAAATTGTGTCTTACATTATCCCACTTGATTGAGTAATCATTTATGATGAGCATTAGGTAAGTCTAATTAGATTTTTATACTCATTTTAATTCTAAATTGAAACTGTAACCTAGAAACACAGTCATTGCATCGAATATTCCATTCAAGACCCTCCTCTAATCGTACTACAAATACCAAATTTAAAATTTAAGTAAACTAAGGATCACATTGTCATTCAAGCCCTTAACGTTAATTTGTATAATTATTGTTTAAATGTCTTTAAGCATGCATAAACATATTGAGAGACAAAACATACAAAGTATCAAACAATGAATTTTTTATTATTAAACGTAAGCAAGTACAACATGCAATTAAATAAGGTATACAGAAAAGGCCTTCTTCGAAACAAGTTCTTCAAAATTTTTAGGAGGGAGACCTTTAGTCATCAGATCTGCAAGTAGATTCTTATAAAAGACTTAAATGTTCAATACAAAATTTATTTTTCTCAACTCGTTCACGTACAAAGTATTTTGTATTAAAATATATTGCAGCACCAATCAAATTGTTTTTGTTCAAAAAATTAACGACGACTGAGCTATAACAATTAAGCTTTAATGGTCTAGAAATGGAGTCAACAACTTTGGGCCTAGTGATAAGATTCTTTAGCAACATAGCGTGATCAGGTTGCATTGTAAAGGGCAATGTGCTCTATTATCATAGTGGATGTTGTTGTCAATTGTTGCTTATGACTCTTCCACAAGATAAAGTCTGCTAGCTAACATAAAGAATGCCTGGAGTGGATTTTGTAACACCTCAACCCGCGTAACCCGAACTAACGAGTTAGTGAATCGGGTTATTACTAAATTAGTATTCACATGCATAATATTTTAAAAACATTTGAAAAAATAAAATATTCATTCATATTTATTTAAGAACAAATCATCGTTTAATTGGAGTAAATAAAATAAACATTGTGAAAGTCTTTAAAAACAACATTCAGAACAATATTGATAAATCGAATAATAAGTAAATACGATATTTAAATAATAATAAGGTTCCTCAGCCATCCACCAACTTCACTCTTCATCATTATCCTCCAGGCTGCTCCTCATCCAATCCCTGATCCCTACCTATAAAAATAGGGAGCGTGTGGGGATCTAATGCTAGAACTAACTCATAGACTAGCACCCATTAATATATAATCACAAAATATCAGAAGAATTAGCAAATATCATTATTGAACATCATTATCGACTTTTTATTTATTTATATTCAGTTCTTGTTGTTCTTCTTTACTTAACCCTATAGGCTAAGATTTTGTTCTGACTAACTAAGTCATGGCACTCGGATGGATACCCTGAGGCCAGGCTTGATAACCCAAAGGGAATCCTCAATGGGCGGGTTGGAGCCCCTACCAAGAAATCTCTAGGTAAGCCAGTGACCCACATACGTATGTTTTTAACCCAAGATTCGTGAGTTATGCGAAGCTCGCCCCACCAGGCCTAAATTCTAAATTCTAACTTATTTGGTGATTCAAATTTTTAATTCAGTTCCAACTCATAATTAAAGAACGGATCTCTCTATGTCATCAAATTTGAGCAGCCAAGCGATCCGGCACCCCCAATCCTCGTCCAGTGGCGATCGTGGAATTTGACAACAAATTACATAGCCCTGGCAGCCCCAATCCTCGTAGTGGCGACCACAAGTCCCCCAGCGGCGGCTATTAACATCCAAGTCCAGCGAAGAACACCACGGCTATAGTGGCGAATCAGTACCACGACAGATTTCATCACTAGTCCATGTAGCAAAACAACGCCAGCCTACGGACATCAACAACAACAACGTCTAACTCCACCTATGCCTGCGAACATCTCCACGAAGGTCGAGGATACACAGCGACAACTAAGAACCCTCTCCTCTCCGGCTCCTTGGCAGCAAATTGGCAACACAGAGCAAGAAGGAGAGTAGGAGAGAACAAAAGGGCAAGAATCCAATAGAAAAGGAAGGAGAAAGCAGGAGCAGGAAAGAAGAAAGAATTCGAGCTTATAACCAGCTTATGAGTCAAAAATTATTTGTCAACAATAAGCCAATAAACACCAACATAGAAAAGCACCCGCATTATTTCCCATTCTATTATATTTCCCACCCCTCTTGAATAATTTCTCTAATCTTTCCCCTTCCGCCGGTGGGCATTGCGCAGTTGGCAAGACAAGGGGTGCTAAAGGAGTAAGACCCGAGTTCGATTCTTGACAACTGTGCTTGGAGGCCACTATGCTAAACATATGACCTCCGCAAGTATCAGGTGCAAGCTCCACTCTTTGCCACCAATCTGCGACTAAAGTCCAATTTACATCCTTTCAATAACTGTCCAGTCAGTCTGAGAGGGCCCACGGGATGGGGCTCAACTTTTTTTCTAGGGAGAAAGCCCAAAGTAGGAATAAAACATTGAAAATATATCAAAATAGGACTTCCATGTTTTTATTCCCGAAATAAGACTTACATTACTAAACATGGTCATGTACATTACCGAAAAAGTGTAGTAAGGTGCACGCGTACAGTGTCACATTACCACGTGCAAAGTCCTATTTTAGGGAAAAAATATGAAAATTCTATTTTGGTACTTTTCTCTATGTTTTAGTTCTATTTAAAGTGATTTTCATTTTTTCTAATCTCTCCCCTTCCACATCATCATATTCTCCCATTATTCTTCTTCCATTAATAATGGTCTTAAATTTGGAGGGTAAGGAAATAAACCACCATCAAGATGAGGAGGTAAAAGGAAAAAGAGCGTCCGTTACAACTGACGAGAAGCAACTGGAAAAGAATTTAGACTAAAATTTTATATTTTTATTTATTTTTTATTAATATTAATTAATAAATAATGAAATTTATAATTTTAAATATATATTCATCATTTGAATACAAATAATTGCATTTTCATGTTTACTTTTTTTAAATTTACTTTCTCTTGGAATTGTAGACTTTTTAGGAAGGTAATATTCAGGGCCGGTCCTGAGGAATCATCGGCCTGGGCCGAAACAGAAAAAAGGACCCTAAAAGTCTTATCCTTAATGATATAACAATTCATCAATCCTTAATGGTCTAACAATTCGTCAATTCGTAAACAAAAAAAAGGCCCTAAAAATCTTATCCTTATAGAAAAGCAATAAAATAAATCAATATATTATAAATTCATATCAATTCGTCGATTATTTTTTTCTTTTTCAGTTTTAGGTTTTTTTTATATCATAAATTCATATCAAATCGTCAATTTTTCATTTTTTAATTTTTTTTTCTTTTTCGTCAATTTTTTTAGTTTTCAGTTTAATATATCATAAATTTAAATCAATTCATCCAAATCAAATAAGTAACATATAGAACCATTAATTCACTCTATTTCATAGCAATTAACAACAATTTCAAATTAAAAATTAATAATTAACCCTAGATTTTAAATCTAGAGAATGAAACTATGAAAGAAAATTAAGAAATAAGAATTACAAAATTGGAATACCTGGAGGCTGGAGCTTGAGGGTCGGCGTCTGGCGGCGGCGGCGGCGGCTTCGTCCGTTCTTCCGTCAGTAGTTCCGTTCGTGGTTGTTCCAGCCTTCTTCCGTTCGATTCTTCCGAGGTTTTGCGCGTAAGTAAAACTGTAAGTTAAAGGATGGATTGGGGCATTGGGCTTTACATACTGGGTGGGCTTCGTATACATATATTTATAATATTAAAAAAAATTGTGCCCCTTAAATTTTTGGGCCCGACCCGGACGGACTGTTTGTCCACCTATTGGGCCGGCCCTGGTAATATTCACTTTTTGGAAAAATAAATGACATATAGGAGATTTGGAGTTGCTCTACAAGCAAATGAAACAATACTTTAGACTCATTAATCATTATTAATTCGTAATTGTAAAATAAAACGAAAATGAGATTGGAAATTGAAATTAGACCGATAAGAGAAAGTCGTCTTCCTCCGCTGCTCCGGTTTTGCTCAGTCCAATTTCTCTCTCTAGATCGTCCTTTCTCTCTCTATATCTATCTGGACAGACTCACATCGTCTGCGTATCTTACTGGGCGGCGAATTGGTAGAAGCGCCGGCATTATATCTGCTCGATCTTCGCAGGGGAGACCTTGTCGGGGCGCTGGATCGAGGAGAATTGGGAGCCGCCTCTCTGAGCTGGATCGGATCTGAGCGTCGGAGGCGATGGCGTTGTCCGGCATGAGAGGTCTGTCGGTTTTCATCAGTGACATTCGCAATTGCCAAAACAAGGAGCAGGAGCGCCTGCGCGTCGACAAGGAGCTCGGGAATATCCGCACTCGATTCAAGAACGAAAAGGTACGCCACTTTAGCACCGAAGAAATATAGCACCCGCTTGAATTTATGCCCTACTTTCGCAAGTGTGTGGGATGGAGTTAGCCGAGTTTTGTTATCACTTCATGTTTGCGGACATTTAGGAAGGAGACTGAAATTTAAACCCTTAGCTCCAAAGCTTAGGGGGACATAGTTTAGGGTATGAATGTACTGGCTATGTGCTGAATAAAGGAAAAGTATTAAACTTGTGTAATTAGGTTATGTGCTTAAGAGCTTAGAATTGAAAATATTATGTCAAGGAGGCATAATGTGAAAATAAAGGGTTTCAAGGCTAGTTGAGAGTATTTGTTCAGAACAGTACTTGCACTAATTTTGTTTGGTTTAATCTCCTGATTATAGATTTATAGGGTTTAAGTACATAATTTACTTGTATAGAATCAGATACACAGATAAAAGAAGACCCTTATGTTAAGTCAAGATAGAAGTTTGAACATCCATTTGATACATGTAGCCCATGGCTGTGAGTCCGTGCGCTTCGCCTGACTTCTTATGCAACAGAGAGCAAGCTATCTAATTTTGGCTTCTGGATAGCATTTTACAATCATAATAGGGTTTGTAATGGAGGATATATGAATCTATGATCATGCTGTAGCTCAGTAGCTCTGAGCTACTAGTATGTGAAATGTAATTCCATCTACCTGAGTACCAGACCACTAAAGATGGTTAGTTGCTGCAAAGGTTGTATATCTTCTGCTTACAAGCTAACACTATATCACTAAGACACTAACAATGAATCATGAGAAAGCTCACACTTAAGCTTTACATATCTCTACATGAAGTGTGGCAGTCGGTCTCTGCTTTCTGCAAGATCTGTTTCTTGCCTAATATAACTAGTGTGGATGGGAGAAGATTTATATTATTTATTGAAATGACTATAAGTAGCTGCATCTATGAGTTTGATTTCATTTCGTATGTTGGCAGACTATGCTACTGGTCATTATTCTCATTGCACACACACTAATCCTCCCTCCATCCCATAAAAAGAGTTTGGTTTCATGAAGGTACAACTTTTTAAATTTGAGGGGTATGAAACATGAAACTTAGCCTGTTTTCATTAAATAGCACTTTTTTTATGGCACGGAGGGAGTATGTGTTTTACTTACAGAGCCTATTCTATTTTAATTTTTTTCATTTCTTAGTCACACATTAGAGCTTGTTCTGGATAATTATGGAATAATCTTCCTCCTCTTTTCTAATTATTCTTTTAACAGGGTTTGACACCTTATGAGAAAAAGAAATATGTTTGGAAAATGCTTTACATTTTTATGCTTGGTTACGACGTTGATTTTGGTCACATGGAAGCTGTTTCTCTAATTTCTGCTCCGAAGTATCCTGAGAAGCAGGTAATCTGCGTATTATTCTCATATTTCTATAATATTGTGCTCTGTATGTAGAAATGTGTGTGTTGAAGGAATGAGAGTATGTTCTTCCAATTGAAGTACTTTTAATTGCTTTAGCACAAATACTTCTGAACTCCAGGATATGGGATTCAGTGAAACTAAAGACTTAAAGTGCAGAATTCACAAAATGATATGTTAATTTTTAAATGAAATGAGATGCAGCACTGTTATAGTGATATCGGTAGTGCCAAATAGCTATGTTGATTGTGGAACATAAGTAACATCTTTAGTGTGCAAGCATGATGCAGTCATAATTTACCCTAATAGAGGGTACTGCTGACATATAGCTACTATAGGTATCTTGCTGAAACATATAGGACTACAATGGGGTTTACAATTAATGGTTTCCTACATGATTATCTGATTATAACCCTCCAGTTCAATCATGGAATTTATTGATCTAGATGGCCCCATATAATCACAGACGTGTATACAACCAAGGAAAAAATAAATTCATGTTTTGATATAGAACTTCAATTAATTAATGTGCTGTGCAATTCAATATACAATACTGATGCCTCAAATAAACAATGCTGCCAATGAAATTTTAAAGGATGTGTGTGCGTCCTCACACACACACACACAGTTCTCTAGTTTGTGCTGCACGTATCTTATCAAAGTTAAGCAAGGAAAACACTTACAATGCTTGTTGGTTGCTTAAACTGTTTTCAGGTTGGATACATAGTTACATCATGTTTGCTCAATGAGAACCATGACTTCTTGCGGCTAGCAATTAATGCTGTGCGCAATGACATTATTGGACGCAATGAGACATTCCAGTGTCTAGCATTAACATTGGTATGCCTATTGCTCATTTGAACCTTTTTTTAGTAGTCGTCCAGTATTGCATAATATTTAAGTCTTTTCTCAATTTTTTTAATTGTTCATGGTTTACCAATGTTGTACATAACTACTTTCAATGGTATATAAGCATAGTTATAATAAAGCATAGTTTTTGTTGGTTTCAAGGCATAAAAGAGGGGGTTTAAGTTCAGTACTAAATTCACTTATTAATATATACTTCCTCCATCCGGAAATGTTCTTCCCTTTTCCTTATTTGGCATGTTTTTATTCCAAAAAGTCACTAGCACCCTTCCCTCAACATGTTTTCCTCTAACTCTTCCTCCCATCGTCGTCATCTACTCATCTGACTCTTCGAAGGAATTTCTTCATCTTCCATTGTCCGTTCTTCGTGGCTCCCCTGCCCTCCAACTTTGGCATCAACCTTCACGAAACAATTGGCAAGCGCCCTTCTCCATAATGCTTGGGCATATTTGGTATTTTTGTTGCTCAGCTCTTCAGCCAATGCAGCGTGAATCCAATCACGACAGTGGCAACCTGAAAAAATACTCCTGGTGGCCAATCTACGTGAATCTATTCTTGTATTTCTTTCTTTTCTTAGCGCTAAAAGCAGATCTGTTTCCTGTTTATTTTAAATCTGTTCTTTGACTGTAGCTATGCCGTTACCAATCTTTAGCAGCCGTGGCATTTTGACTATTCCGGCATGGTTGGAGAAGTAGGCAGCAACAAGGATTTTTCAATGAATAGTATAGGGGTATATTTGGAAAGCTAACCTTTTTTTAGCACTCCTAAATATGTGTGCCAAGTCAACAGGTCAACTTGGGAACTTCATTACCAAACAGATTTTTAAAGATGAATTCATAGCATAGTACTAATTTCTTTTAATAAGATATACCAAACACATGCTGCGTGTATTATTTGCTACATGGTTACCTTACTAGTTGCTACATTTTGGCAAACAAAAATCATATTTAGTCATTGCCACAATGTGAAAAATGTTAAAAGCAACCTGCAACCAATTTGGGCAGATTAGGAATTCATTTGGTCCGTTTGATTATTTCAAAAATGAATTTAGCAGATTATACAATTTCCATTTGGCCTAGGGTGCCTAGGACAACTATAACAATACTGGTTTTATTTCTCCATTATGTTTTATTAAGGTATATAAATCTTACTCCTTTTGTCCCGAAATGAATTACTCTTTACACAAAACAAAGTAAAATCCCAAATCATTTTAATTCATTTTATTTGAAGATTGATATAAAAATAAGAATAAAAACTTGCATATTTAAAAAGTACATCTAAAGTTCTACTAAACAAGAGGTGAGAACAATATTTTATTTTACTCCCTCCGTCCCACAAAACCTTTCTGGTTTTGACTTTTAAATGATTTAAGGGAGTGTATTTTATTAATGACTTTCCAAATATATCCTTGAATGTGATGAGTAAAAGTAGGATTGATTGATAGATTAAAAGTGAAGAAGTGTGATGTAAATATGTGATAGGTAGGTTATGAATTAGGAGGGATAAAAGTTACGGAGTACTTTTTGATAGAAATGAGAAAGGTTTTTTGGGATGGATAAAAAACGAAAGGAGAAGGGTTTTGTGGGACGGAAGGAGTATTAAATAATCAATGAAAACACACTAATAAATAAAAATTCCCGTGATTATTGAATAATGAAGAGTGTAAATCATTGTGGGACGGAGGGAGTATTACATTGTTACCCTTCTGCTCAAATTCATATGGTGAGTCTCCTTTGCAGGTTGGAAACATAGGCGGAAGGGAATTTGCTGAGTCATTGGCTCCGGATGTCCAAAAGCTGCTGGTATGATGGTTTTTATTTTAGCATTTGTTTTACTAGAATTAGAATATAACATATTTATGCTTGACTGTATGCTTTCTGCTCAGATTTCAAGTAGTTGCCGGCCACTTGTAAGGAAGAAAGCTGGTTTGTGTCTTCTACGCCTATTTAGAAAAAATCCTGATGTTGTGAATGTGGATGGATGGTCAGTATGGTTATGCTTTGATATTCTTCATTTATGCATACACTCAACTTTGGTATCAGTTGATTGGAGTTTTCCTCATACTGCAGGTCAGATCGGATGGCACAACTGTTGGATGAACGTGATTTGGGTGTCTTGACATCTTCCATGAGCCTACTGGTTGCTTTAGTGTCAAATAACCATGAAGCATATTGGAATTGTCTTCCGAAGTGTGTTAAGATATTGGAAAGGCTTGCAAGGAATCAAGATGTTCCTCAAGAATATACCTATTATG